TTTTGTCACTCTGCTGCCCTGCTCCCACACCTGGGTTCCTATGGCAACTGACTCTACAGCAAGGGCAGAGAAGAGCGGTTAAAAACAAACTGCTCACTTCACTGGCGGTTGCCATCTTCAAATGGTTGTAGTTTAAAAATTGTAAATCCTACACTGAAGAGCTTTATGTTGTGAGAATCACAAGACCCAGACCTACATTTTGATGCTTAGTATGTCTCTGAAATATTAAAAATTAAGGCACAGTCGCAGTTTAGAAATTGCCCTTCAAATTTGAGGTGGCTAGAGTGGAGTTTCAATGAATATCAATGGGGGTGGTGTGAGTTGCAAACAAATGATCATATTGTGAAAACTATCAGGACTACGGCTTAGCCGTGGACATTTTCAGTGGCAGCAGGGATAGCTGAACGTTTTGCTATAAGATTTGTATAGGTGGGCTTGAAAATGAGGGAGTGATGGCAGTTTACAAATCATATCCTGATTTTTCAGCTCACACTCTAGCTTTTGTCAGCTCCCACTCTAGTTTTGAACATTCCGCCATTCATTCCTATGGGACCAATCTCACCACAAAAACGCTGATATTTCGTGAACCATTCGGTGAAACGTTCCACAAAGTAATAGCACAGGGCGGTTTCAGTATATTACTGTCTATGTAGTGTAAAAACTGTGGGAGGAGTTAGGGTGGTAAATTTGGCTATAATAATAAGAATATATATGTGAGATAACAGTAAGTGGTCTTGCCATGCAAGAACACTTAACAAGTCTTTCACACCTGCTATATCTTTTTCATATAAGAAATTCCATATTTCTCTAGAAAAAAAAACATATTACATGAACTACGTGTAAAAATTTCCTATTGGCAACAGTATACCTGTGCTCAGACTAAAAAATGATAGACCACCCTATTTATTTGTAAAAAAAAATAAATAAATATGTTAGACCACCAGCAGAACCCCCTAGGTGCTTACTTGTACCTTTACAAACCAAATGTACCAAGTGCACCAGAACCTGGGAATTTCAATGATGGAAATATCATCTCTAATACTGAGCTGTGGAATGCAGGAAGGGGCATGATAGAGCTTTATTCTGCATAGTGAAGTTGTGATATGTATAAAAGGAACACCCAAAGATGAATGTTTCTTTATTCACTTAGTGAGTAGGCAGCTTCTTTATCTTTGTAGCGCTACCCTCTTGAGTCGCTGGTTTTGGGTCCTTCTTATTTCCTGCACAGTCAGGCAACATGTGTTTTCCAAACACAAGAAACAGTTAGGCTACGTTCACACTAGCTTTGTCAGCAGTCAGACAGGTGTTTGGGAAGTGTATTTAATGCTTCTCAAAATGCCTATGAAAATTCTGCACATGGCAGCACACAGTGCTGTTCACACTGAAGCGTTAGCGTCGCGGCAAAACTGATGCCTCGTGTTGAGTCAGGAGGAGTTGAAGCCTCCCTTTGAAGCTCCTCAATCGTCTGGCAGGCGTTTGCGACATGGTTGCGAGGCATTTGCGGAGCGTTAATACCATTTAACGTCATTATATGTGCTTGTGGTGCGGTTTTAATGCTTGGCAAACGCCTATCAACCCCCTCAAAACCACACATAGGGCATTTGTGGAGCTTTTGAGGAGCGATTAAAAACGCTTCCAAACGCCTGTCAAACTCTATACGAGCGTTTGGCAAGAGTTAGAAATAAAGTCAAGTGTGAACGAGCCCTAACTGGGCTTGTTTTTTTTATTTATTAGGAAATTTAACTTGGATATAAAGGGGTTATGGGATGCCCAACTTGATTGAAGAATAACAAATGAGTAAAATTTAAGAATAACAAATGAGGACAATTTCCTTCTGTAACTACTACAAAAATGGCAGATATTTGACTGTGTTCCAGCCAAAAACCATGACAGTTTTTAGCAATGTGATACCTTGCAGGAGCTCTGAGTCCCCTTGAGTGGATTTTAAGCAAAGTCCCAACTTGTAGGAGCTCTTAGTCCAATAAATATTTAAAATACCAGCCCACCTGGCTATGGTATCTGATCCCAGGACAAGGGATTGGGTTAGCTATGAACTGTCCCCTGAAGACTTGCCAAGAACTTGCATCCAGCAGACTCTCCCTTATAGGCCTTGGGGGTGTAGAGGTACTCACACTGTCCTTGTCCTTCAGCTGTGGATAGAACTGCTTTCAGACCTTCCACTGGACTGGTTCCTCTACAAACTATGCAGGCAGTCCTTCCCCAGTGTACTGCAGAGCAGTGGAGCTCCCTCCTTCAGCTTTCCTCTTATCTCCAGCCTGGAGGCAGAACCCACCCTTCCCCAGGGCCCCCTCCCAAGATACAGAGCAGCACTTCACAAGTCCATCTTCCACCCAACTGCCCTTGCTGGCCAGACTCTGTCATATTTATGGCCTGGTCTGATACACTGCTAAGCCTCCTGCCTGGGATTTGTCATACTCCCATAAATATGCAGATCAGCCCCTCCTCAACTCTGCCTACTTACTTCTAAAAGCTTCTACGGCAGGAGGAGGTATCAGAGGACTGACCTGTAGAGCCCTGTAGCTTAACCTGAAGTAACCCTCTGTCTAAACCCAGGCTTCTAGCAAGTCTCTAACGATTCTCAACAAACTATATACACTAGAGGGCACTACATCTTAATCATTACCTAAGTCCCTGACAGCTAGTGCAAAGACTGCTGTCCTAGGTTTCCTGCTTTGCAGTGCATCCTTTCACTTGTGGCATCCTATGGAGTCACGCTGGGATGCAGGGACTAGAGTTGTGCCTTCCTACACTGTGTTTATCAATAGAAACACGCTGTCTTGTAGCCTAGACTAACAAAGTACTCTCCTACTCCTCTCCCTCCCTCCCCACTCCAAGCTAACAGACTGGCTTGAAAATGCACTGTCCACTGTGAAGACTGGAAGTTCAGAGAAGCAGCACCGAGAGAGCAGGATCCAGCAGCATTGAAAGTTATAATCTGCAAGTGCAGTAGTAAGAATTAATAAATAATTTACTTGAGAAGGTTTATTTTATTATTCTCAATTTGTTGGGATGAAAAATGCTGAGGGTTTATTAATTTAAAAAAATTCTTCTCCTATAAAGACCCAGGATTAGGCAATAACAGCAGGGTATTCAAGGCTCCTGCAAGTTTTGTGCAGGCATATCTAGGTGTATGCACTGTTGCATACCTGTTGCAGTTTTTGTTATTTTAATGACAGTTTCTAACGCCTTTCAACTGAGCTCAGGTATAATCTAACACTGATACTTGATACAAGGACACTGCCACCCACACCCAATTGTGGTTCCTCCACTGCTATCCCTGGACAAACTGTGAGCTTGGCCCCACCACTGGTTACATTGTTACATAGTCAAGCTGAAAAAAAAAGACACAAATCCATCTAGTTGAGCCAACAGGAAAAAAAAGAGAAAACAAAAGGAAGAAGTAAAAAACCTCTATACACAATCCTATGCCCAAAAATCAAACCTTATGAAGCATGGTCAAATTTGCTCCAGCAAAGGGAAAAAGATTCCTTTCTGATCCCATTAAGGCTATCATATATTCCCTGGAACAATTTTACCTATAAATATTAGTATGCATTTATAGTTTGTGCATTTGGGGATGCATCAATGTCTTTTCTAAAACAATCTACTGAGTTAGTCAGAATTAATTCTTGAAGGAGCCTATTATAGAAACATAGAAACGTGATGGCAGAAAAAGACCGAGTGGTCCATCAAGTCTGGCTGCTTTTGTGTGTGTGTGTTTTTTATTTTGTTTGTTTTTTTTTGTCTGAGTATAGATCTGTGCTTGCCCCAAGCATGCTTATCCCAGGCATGTCCGAATCTTATTCCACACTTTCACCGCTTTTATTGTGAAGAAGCCTTTCTGTATGTGGAGGTTAAATCTCTTTTCCTCTAGATGTAAAGAGTACCCTTTGTTGTTTGTAATGACCTATAAAATACCTCTATGCCAAGAGAGAATAAATTCAGTTCAGCTAACCTGTCCTCATAGCTCAGCTCCTCCATGCCTCTTATAAAAGTTTGTTGCTCTTCTCTGTACTGTCTCCAATATAATTTTTGGGAATTGGTGCCCAACACTGAACTTCATATTCTAAAAGAGGTCTTACTCTCTCTCTCTCTCCCCATTGGCTCCCGCTGCTGTCAGTCACAGCCAGTAAGCCAATAAGGAGAGATTAGTGGTGAACGGCTTTCCCTGGGGGCACTGCTCGAGGGGGAGGAGCCAGAAGTGCCAGCGGGGGGACCCGAAAAGGAAGGGATCTTCGCTGCTCTCTGCAAAACCACTGCACAGAGCAGGTAAGTATAGACGTGCTTGTTATTTTGAAAAAAATTTAAAGCTTTAGTTTCACTTTAAATTTGTGATCTCCCAGAACACCCAGATCATTATCCACCATTGACTCCCATGCATGTTTTTAGCCCCCAAGTTCTTCACATTCAGCAAAATCAACCCTAATTTGCCACATAGTTGCCCAATTAAACAGTGCATTGAGGTCGGTTTGTGAGTTGGAGACATCCTGTAAGAATGTTATTCCACTGCAAAGCTTGGTGTCATCTGCAAAGACTGAAATGGTACTTTTAATCTCAAATGCTATATCATTAATAAATATGTTAAAAAGTAAGGGTCCCAACACTGATCCTTTCGGTATACCATTAATTAGACCATTCAGAGTATGACTCATTAATCACTATTTTCTGAATTCGGTCTTTTAACCAGTTTTCTTTTCATTTACAAAACTGATTTTTCCAAGCCCATAGACTTTACCTTACACATTAGCCGTGTGTGGGAAACTGTGTCAAACGCTTTGGCAAAATCCAAGTATACTTTATCCACCGCCAATATCCACAGCCACTCCTTTGTCTAAGTTTTGGCTTACTTCCCCATAAAAAAAAAAATATCAGATTTGTTTTACAACCTCAGTCTTTCATGAATCCATGCTGACTATTGCTTAAAATATTGTTGTGTAGCAACTCCCAAGCAGGGGCGGACTGACCATTTGGAAACTCGGGCACTGCCCGAGGGCCCGGGGTCAGTAGGGGGCCCCATGAGATGCCCCTGGTACCTTTTTCATAGGCTTTTTTGAGTTTGGGCAAGGACACAGGGGCCCCATGATCCCCAATTGCCCGGGGGCCCCATGCGTTGTCAGTCCGCCCCTCTCCCAAGTGTCTTCCCAACTATAGAAGTTTAACTAACAGGTCTGTAGTTGCTTGGTAAAGACTTTGATCCCTTCTTAAAAACAGGCACTACATTGGCCTTACGCCAATCCAGTGGTACCACGACAGTCATTAAAGAGTTGCAGGACTCTTCTTTTGTAGAACCGTATATCTGGTTGCTGTTAAGCTGTTCCACCACCACTGTTATGTGAGTGCAACTGTTTTATGTTTTATTTTTTTTTTGCAAATACATATGTTTTACGATTGATGCACTTTTGTGTTTTTATGTTTCCTTTACATAGTTTTCTCAGCACAGGTAGACCAACCAACTATACGCTACCTATGTAAAAATGGTTGTGCAAAGCACACAGGTCTGTCCACTGATGTCCTGTGCATGAAATGGTTGTCTCTTCCTGTCAGTTCACCATTATTCACAGCAAGTCAGCCCAATACAGAATCCAGCTCCCATATTTCTTAGATAATAAGAGGATACAGAGTGCCAGAGGAGGTAAACACTGCAAAGGCTCCATACAAGCTAGGCAATGCTCAGTGTTTTGACAAACATAAGGTACCCAGTCATACTAACTGTTTTGCAGTATTGACTGTAACTACTTCAGACCAACAAATGTACAATTACAATTGTGCTTTAAGTCTATAACGTACATATGTTTCTAGATCTTTTACCATCACCCTGTCACCCTGTTTTACCCCCTGTTAAGTGTATTTCTAAGTAACTGCCCAATCAGTGTGTTTATGTTTGCAAGCTGGAAACATCTTCTTTGGATTGTATTACAATACATAGCTTTGTATGATCTGCAACCATGGAAATAGTACTTTAATTCCAAACTTTTATATAATTTATAAACAAGTTAAACAGTCATGTTTGTGTAACAAAATCTGTCTTTCATAAATTCATGACATCATTTACAATATTTTGTATTACATATTGCTGTATGTGGTCCAATTAAAACGTCTCAAAAGTCTTTCCTATAAAATACAGTAAACTTAGAGATATATAACTACCAGGTGTCTACTGACCATATCAACATATTCAAAAACTGTGGTTTGTACATCATTGTGCCAGTATCATTGTTATTCTGAACATCAGCACCATAATGTACCTTTCTATAGCATTCAATATATATGTAGTATTGTTGATCTTCCCTAGTGACATATCAGCATTGGCCTTTTTGTAGGGCTGGTTCATGCCAGATGTGTTGGGATGTGCTGGTAGCCTTGCCAAATGCAGTCTCAATGAAAAGTAAAGGCAAAAAGCCTTGTTCCCCATGATGGCATCATTTTTTTTCAGCACAAAGTGGTGCAACGCAATTTTCTACATTGCACCGAACTGCAGCTAATGAAATGTTACTTTGCAACACCTCAATAAAGTTCTAAAAAAACAAAATAAAACAAAACAAAAAAGCACAGTGCCACGGGTTGCAGGAAATAAATTAGCTCAATTCCCCCATCAACAAAGACAGTGTTGATAGGGGAATCCCTCCTGCAGAGCTATTGTGTCCTCCCAGCGGAGGGGAAGGGGGTGGGGGGAGCAGTTCCCTCCGGGAGAAGACAGTGATTATTGCTAGCGGCTATAATAGCCACTAGCGATAACTGTATGTAAAATCCGGCAGGCTGGTTGTACCAAAGTTGATCGATTGATCAACTTGGCTACATTCAGTCTGCAGATATTGTACATGGTTCGAACCTCTGCTGAACCAGTGGAGCTTGGATCCCTCTATGGCTGGCTTAAGGCCCAAATGAATCCTGGTTACTTACAGTATAACTGTACTACAGGGGCTTTGCCCTAAGCAGTAATGTCCCTAAACTAAGTTTAGTACTGCTGAGCTGTAGTCAGCCTGAGCTCTAATTGTTTTATTTCTGCTTTAGGTTCCCCTAAGCTCAGTTTTATTGTTTGCTTCTGCCTGCTGTTGGTGAGTGTTTCAGGCAATACTGTGGGAAGATACAATAGTTTATGAATACTTATGCCTCCGTAGCCAAACCCTAGAAGGTTTATTGCCAGCAGTGCATACTGGTGAAGAATATAAACATTTAGGGTAACTATCTGGGAGCCTTCTTGCATCCTCCTGCCAGAATGGGAGGTTGGGTGTTAGAGCTTAGTGTTTCTCAGGCCTACTGCCTGAGTGGACCTTTTCCAGAGGCAAGACCAAGGTTGGAGGCCTAAGTAATCAGGGGCAACCTAAACTGGACCCCAAGGGTAAATTTTCACTGCTGAAGAGTGTACTGGAGAGATAGGCAGAAGCTACAGCCAGAGGAGACGGCAGTAAGTTCTTGTAGCTCCTCCAGGGAATATGTATGCCGCCTAAAATCTGCTATACAGTCTAAAGAGTACAATGCCAATTGTGGATTACAGTATTTTTCGCTCCATAAGACGCATCTGACCATAAGATGCACCTAGATTTTAGAGAAGGAAAACAAGAAAAAAAATATATTCCTAACCAATGGACTACAGACTTAGTACAGGAGATGACCAGAGACTGCAGACATAGTACAGGAGATGACCAGACACTGCGGACATACTACAGGAGTCTTGTGGGACATGTGACAGGTCCCAGAAGACTACAGGGCCATTCACAAAGTGCAGCTCTTCTCGCAAATGCGCAGTGGGAACCCAGCTGTGAAGCCGCAAACTGTCACAGCCGGGTGCCCACACTGAAGATGGTGCAAGGGAGAGAAGACAGCTGGTGAAAGGAGTACACCGCTGGACTGAGGAACAAGTAGACCGAGGAGCGGGTTCTTCTGCACAGTAGAGCAGAGTGGCCGGCCTGGTATTCTAGCACGATGGTGGCAGGAATACTGGGCTGGCCGCTCCATAAGACGCACAGTCATTTTCCCCCATTTTTTGGGGGGAAAAAGTGCGTCTTATGGAGCGGAAAATACGGTAAATGCCCTTCTTCTGTATTGACTGTAAGTACAGTCAGAAGTCTGCATTTTTGTTATTTTAGATATTCTGTGCCCTAATCCCTCTCTCTTGAAGTTCAAGGTCCTACAATAAACTGTTAAACTTCCTAAAGTGGTTGGTGCCCAGTTTATTTCACCCCAAAAAGAGACTTTATGGTAATAAATAATAATAAATAATGAGGATTTTTCTTTAAATTTTGTATTTAACGGTACACATCAAAATCAACAGCATGGCATGTCACTTTTTGTGAGATAGAAGATGTCAGAATAGCAGGATACACTTCAGGTGGATACAATTGAGTATGTTCAACAAACATTTTGATGTCCCGCTGTACAACAGGACAGGTTGTCTAGCACAAAGGGAAATTGTGGAGACCCTGAAAGATAGAAAGAAGAAATGATATGTAGCACTACCCCCCTGGAGTCGCTGAGTTATTTTTGGGCTCCCTGTCATTCTGGTCCCCTTTCAGAAAGCCCAACCCCTACTGACACCATGGGACTCTTTTGACCAGAGTAAATTATCACCTGAAAGTAGACTCACACACACATTAGAGTAAACTGATAAGAACTTTATAGTAAACTTCAATGTAAGCTTGGTTAGACAGTACAAAAAGGTTATTAGTACGTGGAAAGGCAATTATTACTCTTAGCAACTCTAAGCAAAGAAACAACACATACAGCAGAATCTCAATCAGTGTTAGCAGGCCTGTTTTACAGAAGTTATCCCAATACCTTCAACCTGAGGTGTTGTCAACCCCAGTGAGCAATGAAAACTAGCAAATAGAACTGGCTCACTTTGGGCCCTCAAAATCTGATGGCAAGGCTTAAATCTGAAATAGAAAAAGCTCTTTGATCAGGGTAGTCAATGTCCCGTTAAATGAGGATTCTTCTGCGCGCTCACTGGGCACCAGTTGGTACTCAAGTAGAAAGTGATGTTGGTGACAGTTCCTTAAAAGATTAACACAGAGAGAAAGAAGGAAAAGTACTCTCCCTTTAAGTGGCACTTGACTTGGGTGTTGTCCCCTTTTTTTCACTCAGAAAAGGCAACTTTAGGCAATATAGTGTCAAACTGGCAGTAGGGCTTGTTGGTAAAGGACAACTCAAGTGTGGGCTGCAGTAAGTAATGGCAACAGTAGTAGATGTTCCTTTAAGAGGGTAAGCCAATGGTTAAGGGAGTACTGATGTGATATGGGCTGCAGAAAGTGTACACTGCGGCCAGCTCTGATTATTGGACTGTGCTGCAAATGTGTTCAACAGTAGCAGCTCTGGGTACTAGGCTGCAACTCATGCTAACTGAATGCAATGTCTGCAACAGTGTGCAGGAAAAGGAGCAGATATGAGGATGAGAATGTCAGTGTTCTTTTGTTTAACTGGTGTATGGGATTCTCTCACTCAATCAGTGGCTTCCAGCAGGTCCTATCTGTCTCTCTGTGTCAGCAGATGGGGGCCCCCACAGGTTCTCCGGCCTCACTTTCTGCGTTCCGTCTGGTCACCCGCGCTCTGGGTCAGCTGCTGGCAGACTGTCTCGCTGAACAGGTTGGCAAAGCCAGCGGTCATCGAATCTTCCTTTCTTCTCCTTTCTCTAGCTCTGTGGCCTGTTCCAGTTCTCCGGCAGTCAGCACAACTCTCTTCTCTCCTTCTGCTCTCCAGCTTGCTTCCTGTCCAGTCTCCCGGGCTTCTGTATATATCTGCCCCTGCCCACACGCCAGCTCTTCTGAGAAAAGTAGTCCTCTGACACACTGCTCCTCAGCAATGTCTTGAGGTTCAGCATACAAGGTCCATGGGGCTGCTCTGCAGATTGTAAGTGCCACTGAATCTGTAGGACACTGCCATTTTGTGTTGGTTTTAAAATCCTGCAGCTGACATTATAGTAGGGTGTTACAGATACATCTAGAAATGCATAGACACGAGTAAGAGCCTGCTATACACAATTCATTTTATCAGATGTACGATCTCAGCTTCTTACCAGTCATACTATTTTTAAACAAATGTACACCAAGTATTTTCTAAGTTTGTAGGGGGGGGGGGGTAGCAAGAAATTCAGCTAGGGAGAGGGGGCCAGGGAAAAGGGGAGAGAAAGGAAAAAGAAAAAAAAAAAGGGTGGGGGTGAGGAGGAGATGAAGGGAAGCGGTGGGTCCAACAGGGGCAGTGTGGCAGGGAAACAATCCAGTTAGGATTGTAGCATCTAAGAATTCCTCTAAAAATTGATAGAATCCCTGGTTGTTACCAGGGTCACCAGAGCTAGTGTGCCCATGGAAGATATACCCACTATTCCTGTTCTGGTGACAACCCAAAATTTAGGAACTTCTTTTCACTTTCTGTGATAATGGTAAACAGGACAAATAGAGAGGGTTAATATTGCTAACAGTGGCACAGATAGCAATAAACTCTTGATCTGTTCGAATGTCTCTCGACTCTTTTCAAAACTATATAAAAGGTTTTGCCTTTAGTTAAACTTTAAATCTAAATAGGCAAGCCACAATTCCAGATTTACCTGGAGATGGTGCTGATGTTGAAAGCGAGGAACTTTTCAAGCAGTTATTATTATTATTATTATTA